CGGGCCGACCAAACAGGACTCAAGGCCCAAGCCGCACGGAGAAATGAACGGGAGCCGCCCCGGCGATGGCGGCTCTCCTCGTGGCCTGGCTCCCCCCGTAGCCCCGTTGTCTCTGTTCAATAAATGGCTGTTTGCAGACTTGTAGGGCTGTGTGCGTTTCCTGTGCGTCTGAGCCCCACACCTCAACCCCTCGCCTTTCCACGCTGCCGGAGGTCGGGGAGGGAGACTGGGCCAGGAATCAGTCTCCCCCGGGGGTATGGGTGCGATGGCGGCTCTCCTCGTGGCCTGGCTCCCCCCGTAGCCCCGTTGTCTCTGTTCAATAAATGGCTGTTTGCAGACTTGTAGGGCTGTGTGCGTTTCCTGTGCGTCTGAGCCCCACACCTCAACCCCTCGCCTTTCCACGCTGCCGGAGGTCGGGGAGGGAGACTGGGCCAGGAATCAGTCTCCCCCGGGGGTATGGGTAGTGAGAAGCCACCATTACTCATATGGCTGCCCCGTTCCCTGATCCCTTGGCAGGAAGGGCCAGAAGCAGCGTTCCCCGTAAGCTGAGTGCTTGGGTGGCCTCCCAGGAAAGATTCAAATACCACCTAGCTGATTAGCGGCGTGCCCACAGCTGGCAGGTTGTGTTTCTACTGGTGGTGCACATCCATACACACCTCTGTGCACATCCCAACATTTATTCCACACACAAAGAGACAAAATTGGAGAACATTGGCCAGAAGCACGTGACATGGCTTTAGCATCTGGACTTCAAGTCCAGCCCGGAGCTGGGTCCCTGCCCTAGGTGCAGCCACGGGCAGTGGAACAGAATAGCCCAGCCAGAGAGTAAAAGGCCTGTAACCCAGATACATGGACCGTGGGCACATCTTGTTTCCATGACTACAGCTCCACTGGGGCAACTGATGCAGCTGAGTCAGGGCCTGCCAGCTTATGGGGGGCCAGCCAGGGTCCAAAGCCAACACAGGACTGCCTGGCTGGAGATATCAGGAACTGCACCCCTGCCCCAGACACCACCCTGCCCCCAAGCCCCAAAAACACCCTATACCCTTACCCTCCCCCTCAGCCTGCCAGATTAGAGGGGCCTGGTGGGGTGTCAGTGGAGGTTACCGTCTCCCTGCCCTGCCCCCCCCACAGGCAATGCTCCCCCCACCTCACTGTCCTCCCTACCCACTGAGCCTTGCTTCCCCGTGGGCTGTGGCGTTCTATGTCCTGCCGGGGGGGGGGCGCGGAGGAGTGGCACAGTTTGCTGGGCTCCCCCCGCCCATCGGGGGAGTGGGGAGCAGGCGAGGTGTCCTCTGCTGCTGCCACACCAGGCCCCTCTGACCCCCTGGTCCCTCCCATCCATAGGACAGTTGGGGCGGCCGCTGAGGGGCAGTGCCGGTTGGTCCTACGTCCGGGATGGCACTGCCCACCACTTGACTTTTGTTACGTGCACCAATAGGAAGGTGATGTTGCACGTCCCACCTGTGTCGCACGCCCCCTTCCACACTGGTGAACACACACTCATTCTGCTCCAGGGTAGAGAAAACAAGCTCTGGTCTCAGCAGCTGTCCGGGCATCGGGGCTTGTCTGAATGATGCCAGCCGTGGCGAGATGCCCGGGGCCGGGCTGTCCCACTGGAGACCCTGGCAGGAGGGTGACAGCGGCAGAGGGACATGGGAGCAGGAAAGAGCAGCAGGCAGCAGCGGGAAGGAAGTGACCCCGCGTAGGTAGGCTAAGAATTCGGGCGGGCTCCCCGCTGTGCCATGAACATCCCAGGGACATTCCCGAGCCAGGGCCAGGCTCCCGGTCCACTTCTGCCGAGTATCAGGCAGGGTGGCCACGCCCCGGATGCCCTCCTCTGTGGCTGACGCAGGAAAGCCTGCACTCTCCAGCCCTGGACAAGGCATCGCACCCGCGCTTTGCCTTTCAATCTAAACACTCGT